TACTACTACTACTACTACTACTACTACTACTACTACTACTACTACTACTACTAACAATAATAATAGATAACATTTATATTGTGATAAACCCCGATTAAAGTACACCAGCTCTGAACTCTTTACGATACAATACAACAGTAGCATAAAACGTTGTGCATAGTAGAATGTATGCAAATTCTTGTTTCAGATAATGTGTGTATGACGGTTCTAAATAATTATTTTCATTCTGTTTAGTTGTCTTCATTTGACACTTATAATGGCAGGCAACAACTTGCATAGTGGAAACTATGCATATTCTTGTTTTTTATTTTTTATGTGTGTATGACGGTTCAACGTGTGTACGTAAGAACATTGTCTTTGCTGGGCTGGTCGTCAGACGATGTGTTCGCTTCGCTTTCAGAGAGTTAATTCCCAAAGAGTGAATATTCATTAGCATGTCATCAACAGCACAGAAACAGCACTTCTTAAAGTCATGAATGACATGCCTACTGACTATGATTCAGGAAAAGTTGTTTTGCTGAGCCTTTTAGATCTATCAGCAACTTTTGATACAATTAACCATCATATTTTATTGAAGCGATTGGAAGTGTCTTTTGGATTATCCGGGACTGCCCTTAGCTGGTTTTCTTCTTACCTGTCAAATCGTTACCAATCTGTTGTTATTAAAGGGCTTAAGTCATCAGATGATGCATCAAAGTATGGTGTTCCCCAGGGCTCAGTCCTCGGTCCAGTTTTGTTCACCATTTATACACAACCACTTGTCAAGGAAATAGTTAAGTATGACTTGACTTAAACTATCAATTCTTTGCTCACGATACCCAAATTTATGGTCGAACAAAGTTTACCAACTTAAATGAACTTGTCCGTTATGCTGAAAATTGTATTGCCTCTGTGAAAAACTGGATGAACAAAAACAAATTGATGTTGAATGATGATAAAACAGAAATCATTCTGGCAGGCAATGCAAAGTCTGTTCATGAGGTTGACCACGATCACATGACAATTGGTGATGCAGAAATTGTATTTTCAAGAAAAGTTAAGAATCTTGGCATCTATTTTGATTTCAGTTTATCAATATCGGCTGAGGTAAATCATCTGATCAGCTGCATGTACATGTATTTAGAAATCATTAAAAAATAAGTAAAATACGTCATCTGACCAAAAGGCCTACTAGGTATACTGCTTTACTAGTAACTAGCTTAATTTGATCAAAACTCGATTATTGCAACTCCTTGTTATCAGGAATATCACCGGAGAAAGTTAAAAGACTTCAAACGGTCCATCAAAACAATGCAGCACGTTTAATTTTAGGAAAAGAAAGCGAGACTCTGCTAAACCTCTTTTACGAACTTTGCATGGGCTTCCTGTTGAGAAAAGGATTGTGTACAAGTTGGCCACCCTATGTCACAAATGTTTGAATGATAATGCGACATCATATTTATCAAATCTGTTAAGACTGTACATCCCAACTCGCAGTTTAAGGTCATCAGTTGACACAAAGAAATTCATTTTACCATCTATGAAACTTAAAACAATGGGTGAAAGGGCATTTGAATACCAATTTAAGGCCCCCAAGATCTGGAATGCTTTACCAAGTACTTTAAGAGAGATAAAATCTTTTGATTCATTCAAATGTCAGCTGAAGTTGTTTCTGATTTTAAATTAATAAGATGAATATTTAATTAGGATTATTTTTTTTAAATTTTAGTGAGAACACAACGTTTTATGTTACTGTTGTGCGTTGTACTGTATTGTAAAGCGCTCAGAGCCCGTGTACTTTAATCGGTGTTGAGCGATATAGAAATGTTATTTATTATTATAATATTATT